TTTGTGTTTTAGATTCCGTCTCTCACAGTTGAAGTGTACCTATGATAAAAATTACAGACCTCTACATGCTTTGTAAGTAGGAAAACCTGCACAATCGGCAGTGTATCAAGTACTTGTTCTCGCCACTGTATGTATTCACCCCCTTTGCTATGAAGCCCCTAAATAAGATCTGGTGCAAACAATTACCTTCAGAAGTCACATAATTAGTGAAATAAAGTCCACCTGTGTGCAATTTAAGTGTCACATGATATCAGTATATATACACCTGTTCTGAAAGGCCCCAGAGTCTTCAACACCACTAAGTAGGGGCACCACCAAGCAAGCGGCACCATGAAGACCAAGGAGCTCTCCAAACAGGCCAGGGACAAAGTTGTGGAGAAGTACAGATCAGGGTTGGGTTATATAAAAATATCCAAAACTTTGAACATCCCACAGAGCACCATTTAAAAATTGAAAGAATATGGCACCACAACAAACCTGCCAAGAGAGGGCCACCCACCAAAACTCACAGACCAGGCAAGGAGGGCATTAATCAGAGAGGCAACAAAGAGACCAAAGATAACCCTGAAGGAGCTGCAAAGCTCCACAGCGGAGATTGGAGTATCTGTCCATAGGACCACTTTAAGCAGTACACTCCACAGAGCTGGGCTTTACGGAAGAGTGGCAAGAAAAAAGCCATTGCTTAAAGAAAAAAATAAGCAAACACGTTTGGTGTTTGCCAAAAGGCATGTGGGAGACTCCCCAAACATATGGAAGAAGGTACTCTGGTCAGATGAGACTAAAATTAAGCTTTTTGGCCATCAAGGAAAACGAAATGTCTGGCACAAACCCAACACCTCTCATCACCCCGAGAACACCATCCCCACAGTGAAGCATGGTGGTGGCAGCATCATGCTGTGGGGATGTGTTTCATCGGCAGGGACTGGGAAACTGGTCAGAATTGTAGGAATGATCTATGGCGCTAAATAAAGGGGAATTCTTGAGGGAAACCTGTTTCAGTCTTCCAGAGATTTGAGACTGGGACGGAGGTTCACCTTCCAGCAGGACAATGACCCTAAGCATACTGCTAAAGCAACACTCGAGTGGTTTAAGGGGAAACATTTAAATGTATTGGAATGGCCTAGTCAAAGCCCAGACCTCAATCCAATTGAGAATATGTGGTATGACTTAAAGATTGCTGTACACCAGCGGAAACCATCCAACTTGAAAGAGCTGGAGCAGTTTTGCCTTGAAGAATGGGCAAAAATCCCTATGGCTAGATGTGCCAAGCTTATAGAGACATACCCCAAGAGACTTGCAGCTGTAATTGCTGCAAAAGGTGGCTCTACAAAGTATTGACTTTGGGGGGGTTTATAGTTATGCACGCTCAAGTTTTCTGTTTTTTTGTCCTATTTCTTGTTTGTTTCACAAGAAAAAATATTTTTCATCTTCAAAGTGGTAGGCATGTTGTGTAAATCAAATGATACAAACCCCCAACAAATCCATTTTAATTCCAGATTGTATTGCAACAAAACAGGAAAAATGCCAAGGGGGGGTGAATACTTTCGCAAGCCACTGTAGGTGCCTTTTGGCAAACTCCAAGTGGGCTGTCATGTGCCTTTTACTGAGGAGTGGCTTCCATCTGGCCACTCTACCATAATGGCCTTATTGGTGGAGTGCTGCAGAGATGGTTGTCCTTCTTGAAGGTTCTCCCATCTCCACAGAGGAACTCTGGAGCTGTCAGAGTGACCATCGGGTTCTTGGTCACCTCCCTGACCAAGGCCCTTCTCCCCCGATTGCTCAGTTTGGCCGGGCAGCCAGCTCTAGGAAGAGTCTTGGTGGTTCCAAACTTCTTCCATTTAAGAATGATGGAGGCCACTGTGTTCTTGGGGACCTTCAATTTTGCATAAATTTTTTGGTACCCTTCCCCAGATCTGTGCCTTGACTCAATGCTGTCTCTGTGCCTTGACTCAATTCCTTCGACCTCATGGCTTGGTTTTTGCTATGACATGCACTGTCAACTGTGGGACCTTTATATAGACAGGTGTGTGCCTTTCCAAATAATGACCAATCAATTTAATTTACCACAGGTGGACTCCAATCAAGTTGTAGAAACATCTCATGGATGATCAGTGTTAAACAGGATGCACCTGAGCTCAATTTCGAGTCTCATAGCAAAGGGTCTGAATACTTATTTAAATAAGGTATTTATTTATCTTTGTTATTTTTTTGGCACAAATTTCTAAAAACCTGTTTTTGCTTTGTCATTATAATAATAATATAATAATATGCCATTTAGCAGACGCTTTTATCCAAAGCGACTTACAGTCATGCGTGCATACATTTTTGTGTATGGGTGGTCCCGGGGATCGAACCCACTACCTTGGCGTTACAAGCGCCGTGCTCTACCAGCTGAGCTACAGTGTTGTGTGTAGATTGATGATCCATTTTAGAATAAGGCTGTAACGTAACAAAATGTAGAAAAAGTCAAGGGGTCTGAATACTTTCCGAATGCACTGTGTGTATATATAAGGTAATTTTGATTTTGTACACGGTCATACTCATGCTGCAACAGGTCCCCCTCTACCCTCTAATGATATGTATAACTTAATATCTAATCTAATCTAACTTAATGTCTCCAGAGAAACCTACATTCAAATAAATACTGTTTTAGATTTGCCCTCATTGTCTCACATCAGATAGCACGACGACCGTCTGCACTGATCAGTCTGATAACTCGCAAACACTCATGGGATAGCTAAAAATAAGTTTGGCTACAATATGCTGTCCTAACATTCGAAAATGTTACGAAGGTGACATCGTCCACCCATCCCCCCTTTCATCCTCAAAAGAGTCCGAGTAAATCTTACCAAAAACATCGAACCTGTAGGTAATATTGACATTTCCTTCGTGAGAAAGCCTTCACTACCTAATTCTACATCTAGCTAAGGTGTTTTGTGGTGGTAGAATCCTATATTTATGAAATTCAAAATGCACGAAAATTTGTTAGCTAATGAAAGTGTCTGCTTGCTGGCTGAACCAGTCTCAAATCAATCCGTATGATAGGAAAGGCAGGGATGCTTACAATGCCAGTACACACACTCAATGCTGAACACTCCCTCTAGCTAGTGTAGTGAAGTTCTAGCTATGGACAAATTTAGTTTTCATGATCTCTGTTCTGGCGTGATAGTGCGCTGAGTTCTACAGCACAGCTGACTGCTCTCTGCGACGTTATCGCATTGGCCAAATGTTACAAAGTAGTGAGGCACCTTGCCAGCTGTCAGTCAGATGCTGATTTCTGAGAACAGTCTCATAACTTTGGTGCCGTACAACTTCATCAACAAGCTGGCAAACTAGCTACCGTATGGCCATTCAAACAAGCTTGCACTAGGCTGCTAGCTGGAGCAAGTTTGATCAGCTGATCCAGCGTGCATGGTTTGTCATAGTAGCCAGTACATCATAGCTACTGAGAGCGGAATTATTTTCAGAATTAGGAACTAATGTTAGGCGGATGAGCAAAACCTTGATTTTTAGAGATGAGTTCCACGTCCTACAAGAATGATCGGTTGAGGGACGAGCGTTGTGTAGGAGTGACGCCATCTGACGTGAAACAATGGATTTGCCCTAGAATAACTACTTATCGGGAATACAGACCATTACAGTTCTCTGTGTAGAGTTCTGTATTGCAGTTCTATCAAGTATTTATACCATTGGCAGATTTTTTTATACAGTATATCATAATGACCCCAGTCTGAAGTTTGAGGGTTAATAAAAATTATTTCATTTTTTAACCTTTTAACAACAATTGTCAATTATTTTGTAGTTTAGACCCTAATTTACATCATCTGAAGTGTATGCGTTGTGCCCGCCATCGGTTGAGACACAGCATACTCTTGAATACAGGGTGGATGTCATTTTAATCATACAAATATAATTTAGCTGGTACACACCATTGACATTTCTAATAGAATTGAAATGTAAACTTCCAATTACTACCACAAAGATTGCGGCTGGTCCACCACTGTTGAATATCAACTTAAAGAGCGACCGCCTTTAAAAAGCAACGAATCCCTTTGAAAACGGTCTATGTGGCATCGATATGAGTCAGAAACAGTTATTCTAGTATTTTGGTCACAGTCAGTCTCGTCTAAAATGGAGTATGGAACATCCGTGCATCACAACGGGTAAAATAAGGTTGGGTCTTGATTTGACAATGTCCATTTGCCAACTAACATGGGGTGAACAGCTGCGGTGATTGCTCTCAATCCAATACCATGGACAGTGAGCCAGACATGCCCAGCAGCTCTGACTTTGTTTACATAAGACAACACATTGCCCATTATTTTTACTAGAGAAATACTGCACCAAACACCCTAGTTAAAGTAAAATTGAGCAACTAACACATCCTCTGCAAAAACGTAAACTCAAGAAATCTGTACTTAATTTGATCTGAGATTCATTCTCAGGGATTTTGAGGAAGTGAAATAGGCTTCCGTGTCTACAGTGTCTCATGGGGGACAAACATCTTTAACCAAATGCGGGATCGGTTAGGAAACACACCTACAAGAGTGAAGTCTTTAGTTTTTCGAATGAGCAACAGAAAAACACACGTTCCAATCGCCGTGTTCAGTGGATCTTTAAATGGGAATGTCTATTCTATTATATGATTTTCAATAGGTTTCTGATGGAAGATTGTTAGTTTAATTTAAAACAACTGATATTCCCACTCAAGTCCACATTATCTTATGTGTAAACCTCCAACCATCTTTTGTGGTACCTTCCCAAAGTATACATTTCATTTTGATTCCCATTTGAGTACATTTATCAGTTCCAAAAAGTCACTTTCTGACCAAAATCTGAGCAAATATGTATGGAAGCTTTCAATCAAATCAAAAGAGGTGTGGTCAAAAAGTGATTGAAATCAAATGGAACGACCCTATAGCAAACATTCCGTGTGTGTGTGTGTGTGTGTGTGTGTTCAGATCCTGTGTATCCACCTGAAGCGTTTTCGCCATGAGGTGATGTACTCCTTCAAAATCAACAGCCACGTGTCCTTCCCATTGGAGGGCCTCGAACTCCGACCTTTCCTGGCCAAGGACAGCCCCTCCCAGATCACAACCTATGACCTCTTGTCCGTCATCTGTCACCATGGCACTGCAGGCAGTGGGTGACCCTTGACTGAATTACCTAACATTTAAAGACGCCCTCCAGCTATTTTTAACATGTTTGTTTGGCTGATATTGGTTGTGATTCACCGCAGCATAGTCCTTTGTGTGTCAGGTGTTTTCTTCATAGCTTACAATCTACACTTCTGCAATTCCATTACTCAACCTATTTTTCACTAACTCCCCCTTATCTCTTCCTCTGTCTTTCTCCTCCTAATCTCTCTCTCTTCCCCTCCCTCCTAGGCGGTCACTACATAGCGTACTGTCAGAACGTGATTAACGGTCAGTGGTATGAGTTTGATGACCAGTATGTAACGGAGGTCCATGAGACGGTGGTGCAGAATGCTGAGGCCTATGTGCTCTTCTACAGGTGAGACTTCAACCTTCATTATGTAAGAACACTTTAAACGTTTTCATGTTTGGTTGACCCGAATAATGTATTTGATTTTGTGTGTGTGTATACGTGGGCCTATATCTGTGTATACACGCCTGTAGCCCAAAGGCCGGCAGATGGCGATTTGAGTCGTTTCCATCTTACCGTACAAACGCATTGTATGCAGCCATCGATACACTCCTATCCCCCGTGGACCGGTTCGTGCCTAAAACATTCTCCATTCAGGCTGCAAAGGCGTCAATTTCCTCTTTAACTAGATTGAATGGCGAGAAGGCAGAAAAAAAACTGGGAAAGTATGCATACTTTCTTTATGAAACACCATTTTCCACCACCATGCTAAAGTGGCTAATGCCTAGGAATGCTAGTCACGAATGTTGCGTATCGCATTCAGCCAATCAGGTTGCAGCAGTTGGTTGTTTACCCCTGGCTGAACGCAGGGCGCAACATCAGGAAGGAGCATTGGCCATTAGCATGGTGGTGGAAAATGGTGTTTCATAAAGAAAGTGCGCATACTTTCCCAGTTTTTTTTCTGCCTTCTCGCCATTCAATCTAGTTAAAGAGGAAATCAACGCCTTTGCAGCCTGAATGGAGAATGTTTTAGGTACGAACCTGTCCACGGGGGATACGAGTATATTGCCGGTTGCATACAATGCGTTTGGATAGTAAGATGAAGCCATCAATACCAGATCAATATCGCCATCTGCCAGTCTTTGGGCTAACGCGTGTTTGTGTGTGTCTGCTCACGTGTCTGTGTGTGTGTGTCCACGTCCACAGGAAGAGCAGTGAGGAGTCGATGAGGGAGAGGCAGAAGGTGGTGGCTTTAGCTAGCATGAAGGAGCCAAGCCTGCTGCAGTTCTACATCTCCAGAGAGTGGCTGAACAAGTTCAACACTTTCACTGAGCCAGGACCCATCAGCAACCACACCTTCCTCTGCCAGCACGGAGGTCAGTACTGTACTGGACCTACCACCACAACCCATCCTAAACATCAACCACACTCAATCCATATAAGACCTGGGCTCACTTCAAGTAGTACTTGTTTTCTTTCAAATACTTTAAGCTGCGCTTGATTGAGCTTCCTGGCGCAGTGGAAGCAGTAGAGTACTGAGTAGTCCCAAAAGTGCTAACTCTGTCCATTTGGTCTGAGGGCCTTTCCCGTTTAAGATATTCTATTTCTGTCCTCACTAACCCCACCTTTAAATCCCAAGCACAACCACTTTCAACCCCAATTGAAATAATCTCAGACTTGTGTTTTATCCAGGGATCCCGCCCAATAAATACCACTACATTGACGACCTGGTGGTGATCCTGCCCCAGAACGTGTGGGAGTACCTGTACAACAGGTAAAATGAGACGCTCTCCTCAGTCTGTCTGGCTGTCTGTCTGACTGGCTGTCAAACTTTCTATCTTCCTTTCTGTCTGACTGACGGACGGACTGACTGACATGGTGAAGGAGTTCAATGGCCTATAAATTCTGTCTTTTCTGTCTGTCCGTCCGTCCGACTGTCTTCCTGCCCACCTGTCTGTCTGTCCGACTGTCTGTCTGTTCATCAGACTGTCTGTCTTAACTGACTGTCTATCTGTCTCCCAGTTTTGGAGGAGGTCCAGCAGTGAACCACTTGTACGTGTGTGCCATCTGCCAGGTGGAGTTAGAGGCTCTGATCAAACGCAGGAAGGTGGAAATAGACACCTTTATCAGGGTAAGAGGTGTGTGTGCGTGCGTTCACGTGTGTGTGTGTGTGTCAGGGTTTTTTCAGCATCAAAAAGGGGCTTAAGTGGTGGTCGTGGCACGGTCAGCGTGGCTGAATTTCCGCGATAATTTTTGAGGCCCTCATCTTGGCGTTGTAGAGACATTTTAGAATTTTCTTAAGCCAATTTCTTGCAATTCTAAAAATTTTAGCAGTTTTAAAGAAAATGTCCTGCGATTCTATACTGAACAAAAATATAAACGCAACATGCAACAATTTCAATGATTTTTACTGAGTTACAGTACATATAAGGAAATCAGTCAATTGAAATAAATTCATTAGGCCGTAGTCTATGGATCTCACATGACTGGGCATGGGCACAGCCATGGGTTGGCCTGGGAGGGCATAGGCCCATCCACTTGGGAGCCAGGCCCACCCACTGGGGAGCCAGCACAGCCAATCAGAATTCGTTTTTCCCCACAAAAGGGCTTTATTAAAAACAGAAATACTCCTCCGTTTCATCAGCTGTCCGGGTGGCTGGTCTCAGACAATCCCGCAGGTGAAGAAGCCTGATGTGGAGGTCCTGGGCTGGTGTGGTTACATGTGGTCTGCGATTGTGAGGCCGGTTGGACTTACCACCAAATTCTCTTAAAACTAAATTGGTAGAGAAATTAACATTACATTCTCTGGCAACAGCTCTTGTGGACATTCATGCAGTCAGCATGCCAATTGCACACTCCCTCAACTTGAGACATCTGTGGCATTGTGTTGTGTGACAAAATTGCACATTTTAGAGTGGCCTTTTAATGTCCCCAGTACAAGGTGCACCTGTGTAATGATCATGCTGTTTAATCAGCTTTTTGATATGCCACACCTGTCAGGTTGATGGATTATCTTGGCAAAGGAGAAATGCTCACTAACAGGGATGTAAACAAATTTGTGCACAAAATTTGAGAGAAATAAGCTTTTTCTGCATATAGAACATTTCTGGGATCTTTTATTTCAGCTCATGAAACATGGGGGCCAACACTTTACATGTTGCGTTTATATTTTTGTTCAGTATACATATTCTGCCAAAATGTTGCAGTTTTAAAACTAATTTCCTGCAATCCTATGCATTTCGCCATGGCTAATGCTGTGTTATTTTGCTCAAACATAATAACAAAATCTGTACAGATAAGTTAATTGTTTTTGGAGTTTTCAATTCTCCCTGACTATCTAGCTTTTATTTTGGTGATTGTTAGTTCTCAAAGATTATATTATTTAAAAAAAGATATAGATCCATTTATCTTTTCTACATACGTTATATATGGTTTAGTCGTTCAAGTTTACACAAAGCGTTTTTCCATTTCTATTTTTTTATACTGTTTGGACTTAGGCGACCCGAAAAAATTGCTTAGTTAAGTGGCCGGCCCAAGGATTTCAATGGTAGAAAAATCCCTGTGTGTGTGTCCCTGTATCAACGGCCTCACCTGTCCCCTCTCTCGGTCTCTCCAGTTGAATAAAGAGTTCCAAGCGGAGGAGGCTCCTACAGTCATCCTGTGTATCAGTATGCAGTGGTTCAGAGAGTGGGAGAGCTTCGTCAAGGGCAAAGACAACGGTAGGATTCAGTGAGAATACAGTTGAAGTCTGAAGTTTACATACACTTAGGTTGGAGTAATTAAAACTTGTTTTTCAACCACTCCACAAATTTCTTGTTAACAAACTATAGTTTTGGCAAGTCGGTTAGGACATCTACTTTGTGCATGACGCAAGTAATTTTTCCAACAATTGTTTACACACAGATTATTTCACTTATAATTCACTGTATCGCAATTCCAGTGGGTCAGAAGTTTACATACACTAAGTTGACGGTGCCTTTAAACAGCTTGGAAAATTCCAGAAAATGATGTCATGGCTTTAGAAGCTTCAGATAGGCTAATTTACATCATTTGGGTCAATTGGAGGTGTACCTGTGGATGTATTTCAAGTCCTACCTTCAAACTCAGTGCCTCTTTGCTTGACATCATGGGAAAATCAAAAGAAATCAGCCAAGACCTCAGAAAAAAAAATGTAGACCTCCACAAGTCTGGTTCATCCTTGGGAGCAATTTCCAAATGCCTGAAGATACCACGTTCATCTGTACAAACAATAGTACGCAAGTATAAACACCATGGGACCACACAGCCATCATACCGCTCAGGAAGGAGATGCGTTCTGTCTCCTAGAGATTAATGTACTTTGGTGCGAAAAGTGCAAATCAATCCCAGAACAACAGCAAAGGACCTTGTGAAGATGCTGGAGGAAACAGGTACAAAAGTATCTATATCCACAGTAAAACTAGTCCTATATCAACATAACCTGAAAGGCCGCTCAGCAAGGAAGAAGCAACTGCTCCAAAACCGCCATTAAAAAGCCAGACTACGGTTTGCAACTGCACATGGGGACAAAGATCGTACTTTTTGGAGAAATGTCCTCTGGTCTGACGAAACAAAAATATAACTGTTTGGCCATAATGACCATCGTTATGTTTGGAGGACAAAGGGGAAGGCTTGCAAGCCGAAGAACACCATCCCAACTGTGAAGCACGGGGGTGGCGGCATCATGCTGTGGGGGTGCTTTGCTGCAGGAGGGACTGGTGCACTTCACAAAATAGATGGCATCATGAGGAAGGACAATTATGTGGATATATTGAAGCAATATCTCAAGACATCAGTCAAGAAGTTAAAGCTTGGTCGCAAATGTGTCTTCCAAATGGACATTGACCCCAAGCATACTTCCAAAGTTGTGCCAAAATGGCTTAAGGACAACAATGTCAAGGTATTGGAGTGGCCATCACAAAGCCCTGACCTTAATCCTATAGAAAATGTGTGGGCAGAACTGAAAAAGTGTGTGCGAGCAAGGAGGCCTACAAACCTGACTCAGTTACACCAGCTCTGTCAGGGGGAATGGGCCAAAATTCACCCAACTTATTGTGGGAAGCTTGTGGAAGGCTACTCGAAAAGTTTGACCCATGTTAAACAATTTAAAGATAATGCTACCAAATACTAATTGAGTGTATGTAAACTTCTGACCCAATGGGAATGTGATGAAAGAAATAAAAGCTGAAATAAATAATTCTCTCTACTATTATTCTGACATTTCACATTCTTAAAATTAAGTGGTGATCCTAACTGACCTAAGACAGGGAATTTATACTAGGATTAAATGTCAGGAATTGTGAAAAACTGAGTTTAAATGTATTTGGCTAAGGTGTATGTAAACTTCCGACTTCAACTGTAGATACCAGGCATTATAGTACCAACAGAAGCTAAGAACTGAATTACTTAATACACCATCATTATCATATTGTATCCTCTGTGCAGACCATATATGTAATAATAATATATGCTATTTAGCAGGCGCTTTTATCCAAAGCGATTTACAGTCATGCATGCATAAATTTGACGTATGCTTTGCCCCGTTAATCAACCCGCTATCCTGGCGTTACAAGCGCCATGCTCTACCAACTGAGCTACAGATGAATAAATACAGTCTGCAATGTTCCTCAGTAAAGCTTTTGTTGGTGTTTGTTTATGTTGGTCATTGTCTTCTCAGAGCCCCCAGGTCCTATTGACAACAGTAAGATTGGTGTCATGAAAGGGGGACACGTACAGCTCAAGCAAGGTAAGCAGTGTATGCTCATACACATTCACATTGTGTGGGTCGTTTGGTCGGTCTGTGGGTGCATGCGCTATTGTGTGTATTGGAATGCGCCTTGTGTGTGTGTGTGCGCACACGTCTGTATACACGGAATGTACAAAACATTAAGAACACCTGCTCTTTCAATGAGACTGACCAGGTGAATCCAGGTGAAAGCTATGATCTCTTATTGATGTCACTTGTTAAATCCACTTCAATCAATGTAGATGAAGGGGAGGAGACAGGTTAAAGAAGGATTTTTAAGCCTTGAGATATGGATTGCGTATGTGTGCCGTTCAGAGGTGAATGGGCAAGACAAAATATTTAAGTGCCTTTGAACAGGGTATGGTAGTAGGTGCCAGGCCCACCGGTTTGTGTCAAGAACTGCAATGCTGCTGGGTTTTTCACGCTCAACAGTTTCCCGTGTGTATCAAGAATGGTCCACCACCCAAAGGACATCCAGCCAACTTAACACAACTATGCATTGGAGCATTGGAGTCGGCATGGGGCAGCATCCCTGTGGAATGCTTTTGACACCTTGTAGAGTCCATGCCCTGACGAATTGAGGCTGTTCTGAGGGCAAAAGGTGGGTGGGGTGGGGGTGGGGGGGGGGGTGGTGAAACTGAATATTGGGAAGGTGTCCTTAATGTTTTGTACACTCAGTGTATACTATATGTGTCACTGTCACCTGTAGGTGTCTTAGATACAAACTACAGTGCATTCGGAAAGTATTCAGACCCCTTGACTTTTTCCACATTTTGTTACGTTACAGCCTTATTCTAAAATTTATTAAATCGTTTTTCCCCCTCATCAATCTACACACAATACCCCATAATGACAAAGCAAAAACAGGTTTGTAGACATGTTTGCAAATGTATAAAAAACAACAACTGAAATCACATTTTCAGAAATATTCAGACCCTTTACTCAGCACTTTGTTGAAGCACCTTTGGCAGCGATTACAGTCTCGAGTCTTCTTGGGTATGACGCTACAAGCTT